CAAAGGGCTAATATCCAGAATCTACAGAGAACTTACAGTTACAAGAAAAAAACAAACCACCACATCAAAAAGTGAGCAAACGATATGAACAGACACTTCTCAAAAGAAGACATTTATGCAGCCAACAAACATATGAAAAAAAAGCTCATCACCACTGGTCATTAGAGAAATGCAAATCAAAATCAGAGTAAGATACCATCTCATGCCAGTTAGAATGGCAATTATTAAAAAGTCAGGAAAAACAGATGCTGGAGAGGATGAGAGAAATAGGAATAATTTTATACTGTTGGTGGGAGTGTAACTTAGTTCAACCATTGTGGAAGACAGTGTGGCAATTCCTCAAGGATCAGAATCAGAAATACCACTTGAGCCAGCAATCCCATTACTGAGTATATACCCAAAGGATTACAAATCATTCTGCTATAAAGACCCATGCACATGTATGTTTATTGCGGCACTATTCACAATAGCAAAGACTTGGAATCAACCCAAATACCCATCAACAATAGACTGGATAAAGAAAATGTGGCACATATATACCATGGAATATTATGCAGCCATAAACAAGGAATAGTTCATGTTCTTTGCAGAGACATGGATGAAGCTGGAAACCATTAATCTCAGCAAACACAAGAACAGAAGACCAAAGACCACATGTTCTCACTCATAAGTGGGAGATGAACAATGAGAACACGTGGACACAGGAAGGGGAACATCACACACCAGGGCCTGTGGGGAGGTGGGGGGTTAGGGCAGGGATAGATTTAGGAGAAATACTTAATGAAGGTGACAGGTTGATGAGTGCAGCAAACCATTATGGCACATGCATATCTATGTAAGAAACCTGCACATTCTGCACATGTACCTCAGAACTTAAACTATAATAATAACAATTATAGTAGATAATTGAAACTTAGAAATTTTTGAATTGTAATAAAAAAGGCTTCCCCTTTAATGCTAATGTTATCATTCACACACACACACACACACACACACACACACACACACACACACACCTTTCTACCCTATATCCTTATATTTAAGTATTCAAAGGCAATAATTTGAAGGGATGCACAATGATTTTCAACCATGGCTACACATAAAAGTGACATGAGGAGTTTTAAAAATTCAAATCCATGAGGCCCCATTCCAACCCAATTTAAGCAGCATCTCTAGAGCTGGATTTGGAAACTAGTCTAAAATAGGAAAGCTTTATATTTGCCTTCCTTCAAAACACACAACACACACACACACAATTTTATGAACAATACTGATTTCTAAAGATTTCACCTTGATTAGTTCAATTGCCAAGCAGTGCATCACTAAATATGATAGAAGAGAGTTTCAAATCATCCACTGTTTTCCTCAGGATTTTATATTACACTGTTCTACTAAAGTTTAAAACATTGGTGTTGTTTATTGACTTGTGCCCATGGGAAACATAATGAACATAACCATGGTCTAACACAGACACTATATTGAAGAACAATTCCTAGTTCTTACTGAAGCTTGACAATACAATCAAAATAGACTGCCTGAAGTAAAGAAATAAAGGCTTTAGTCTTCTGTGTCAATTTCAAGAATGATTACCTCTCAAACAACCTTGAACAGACTTTATCTTGATTTTCCTGGCATTGCTGAATTTGAAAGAATTCAGAGAACACTGATTCTTTTAAGAAGAAAGATTAAATATGGTTCTAAAAACAGTAAATCATTTTTCTTAACAGGAAAAAAGACAAAGTTCCAAAAATACTTTTTATGAAAATCATAAATGTCCCATGGTTTTTTCAAGTAAGCCTATTAATGCATAGTTCTCTGTTCAGTTTTTCTTTTGTGTATGCATTTTTAAAATACTCTGCTGAGGATTTCTAGAAATGCTAATTAACTTCAAAGCTTGAACTCCAATAAAATAATTATTCAAAACTGGTCACATTGCATAACGAAGTTTACCTTCAAAATTATATCTTAGTTATGTCATTTGAGTAAAGTCTTTCTTTGTGTACCTTCTGACAACCCTCTTTCCCACCACATCCCCAACTCCTGCACCAACTGTATGGAGGTGAGGTAATGACCTCAAATGTGTTCACATCTGCCCTGTCATAATTTGCAAGTTTATTCACAAAATTAGGTGAGCCAAGAGCCAGAAGAAAGATCTTGTGATCTCTTAGCTATCTTCTATTTTCAACTCTGACAAGCAGGTGTTGGGAATGTAATAAAATGACATTTACAAAAGGGTACTGGCTTCTGTGGTCTTTGCTCTTGATCCAGTATCTCAATAGCCTCAGCAATAATTTCTTATGGAGGGGGGCAAGTTGATGTCCTTAATTTGAGATTCAAATCAAATAAAGTCTTAAAAAACATTAGTAAGTATAGTTTTACCTAAATTCTTACTGTACAAATATTCCACTTAGTTTTTATTGTGTTGTGTAGCTCAGCCTCATTGCTGTCAATGCAAAAGCTGAAGATCAGAATGGATGGTCCACAGTGGAAAAGTCACTAAGCTAAATTAGAATTAACAGAAATAAAAATGGTGATTTAGGATTATTAAAGACATACTCATTTGAAGCATGTGTCTTGTAATGTCTTTCTGTATAAAGAAAGCATTTGTTAAAAGTGACATTTATGCAAATAAATATTAAAATAATAATTAAAATATGGATTATCTATAAGATTGGTTTTGTTGAAAATATTAATAAGGCCAGCTGATTAATAAGCCAAGGTATCACTATGTGCCCCATACACAAGGAGAAAAATGAGGAAACTCCAATGAATTGAAAATACACCTGAATTAATCTACTTATACCAGGTGCTTTCAGTCTTGAATGAGAATATGAAGACTATTTCTTACATGTTATGTAACTCTAACATCATCAATCAAGTCTCGGAGTTCCATGTATAATTGTAACGTGGTGTCCTATGAAACTAAATTGGGAAAGGAGAGATCACCTGCTAGGAGCAACCTACAAAGAGTCCCAAACAGGTCAGAAGTCAGCAGACTTCTGTTAGCATTCTCTGGGGATAATGGCATCCTAGGCACAAACCTATGGATGTCTGGCACATATGTCCAATGTTGAGAAGGACATACTTAGCTGGATGCCAGTATAAATTTCCAATCTCTCTACCGCTGACTCAATTTGTTCCACCATCTTTGTTCACTAGATAAAATTGGGATTAAATTTGTTTCTTCCTCTGTAGCTATTCCTATGCATTTGAATATTACAGTCTGCATCCTTCATTGTAAGTCAATAAATCAGTATAATTATTTATATTTCATTTTCCTGTGGGAATTAATATGAGTTAGATTCACTCTCTAACAACATGAATTCTGTAAACTTGCAAATCCAAGGCCCTTACCATGTTAATTTCACCAAGAGCAAGAAACTGTTGGAAGGATGCCTTCTCCTACCCATAACTCCACTTCTGTATACATCTATGAGTTTAGCAGGTAGACATATGACAGCTTCACTAAGGATACACAGCACTTGGCACCTGGCATGTATTATGTATGTATTTAATTAAGAGCATGGTAGTGTTCTTACCCAGATTTGTAGTTGTAAAAGGCAAGTGGAAGCTGTAGGCAAATATTTGCTCAGACAAGTTATGATTCATAAGCAGGTATCCACAAAACCAAAGCATATAAAAGGTAAAAAAATTCTAGAAATGGGGGTCCAAAGTGGCTCCCGCCGGAGCTCATGGCGCTTGCGAAGGTGAGGTCATCGGTTCAAGGCTAACCTGAGCAACCTCATAAGCTCAAACTGATTGGCAAAAAAAAAAAAAAAAAAAAAAAAAAAATTCTAGAAATGACTTTGCAGTAAGCACAATCAGATATGAACTGAGGAAAGGTTATTTATGGAATTAATGTATACTCTTTAATAAAAATATTCAAATTGTTGCTTAAAGAAATATTAATATCATTTTGTTGTTGCTCTTGTTTTGTGAGACAGAGTTTTGTTCTTATTAACTAGGCTGGAGTGCAGTGGTGTAATCTCAGCTCACTGCAACCTCTGCCTCCCTGGTTCAAGTGATTCTCCTGCTTCAGCCTCCCTAGCAGCTGGGATTACAGATGCCCACCACCACACCTGGAAAATTTTTGTACTTTGAGTAGAGATGGGGTTTCACCATATTGACCAGGCTGGTCTCATTCTCCTGACTCAGGAGATCTGCCCTCCTCAGCCTCCCAGGTGCTGGGATTACAGGCATGATCCATGGCACCCAGCCTAATCATTTAATTTTAGGGTAAGCTCCTTCTAGAGACACTGCATAATATGCTACACTATCTTTCTAAAATACGTATTTTTTAAAATCTAAATTTGTAAATGTATTCATCCCCAGGATTTCAGGTAAAAGACAGTGAGCCTGAACTCCTTCCGTTCTGTAATATAAGCTACGAAAATTTATCGATGTCTTATTTAGGTATGTTTGTAAAAATACCAAAATATTTTAACAATATGGGACAACTAATTGGGAGGAAGAATAATGTGGAAGAGAGAGCAAAGGCACTGAATCAGAGATGACAGCAAATCGGGCTTCAATGCCAACTAAATATGTGAAACTTGCCAAATGTCCTTTCTAATCCTGTGTTTTTCATCTAGTAAGAGTTTTTTGAAGCCTTAAATGAGACAATATAAGAGACAAGATATGATATTTAAAAAGGTAATTGTAGTGACAGATTGAGGCACATTTATTGCTGTTAATATAATATTGATCACTAAACCTATTGCACAGCATGTTAATGTTTCTGACCTCTTTTCATGCAACAAAGGAAATGTTGGTTTTCATATCTGAGGGTTTATAGCTTTAGTATTTCAAACCTTAAAAGTTCTGATACAGAAAAAGACAAATATACATTGAATCATATTCCAAATCTGTGAGATTATTCATACTGTTTTATAAGTTAAATGAATAATTTGAATTATCACATTGAATAACCAGTGGTTTTAATCATTTACTAATAAGTACGTATCACTTATTTCATACTAAATGACTGTAGGTGTCTTTACCTGAAAAGAGTAGGTATGACCATCTGAACCACAAACAGGGCTGGAATAGCCCAGTGGGCACTGCTTGCAGGTGGATGATATGGAACCCCTCCACTGCCTATGGCCTACTCCTGCTTCTTTCATCCTGTTAAAAAAATAAAGCAAGCATATTGAGCATATTTATTTAAAAATATACATTTATATTAGCTCATTCCTCTTCTCCACTGCCATTCTAACTGCTGAAGATACATTAGAATCAATAAACTATTCTCATTTTCAATTTATTTCATGCCATATTTATCATTATAATCTTTTGATTTATATCTCAATACTTGCCTCTTTAAAACAAGAATATGTTCCTTAAACATATTCTGCTAGTCACATATAAATGATAGTGATATTTCTTCATGTGAACACTTGTGATAGCCCCAGAAACAGAAGAAACACTTGCTCAGCAATCAAGGACTCACACATCTGGCACCTTCGTAAAAGCTGTCCTCACATTCTGTTAGAAATAATTTAAAACAAAAAACACCTAATTCACTGGATGCCTAAAAATAAGAGTGGCTTACACCATGGAATACTATGCAGCCTTAAAAAAGAATGAGTTTAAGTTCTTTCAGGGACATGAATGAAGCTGGAAATCTTCATTATCAGTAAACTAACACCAGAACAGAACACAAAACACTGCATGTTTTCATTCATAAGTGGGTGTTGAACAAATGAGAACTCATGGACACAGGGAGGGGAACATAACACACTGGGGCCTGTCAGGGGTGTGTGAGAAAATGGGAGAGATAGCAGGGGGGTGGGAGGCTAGGGGAGGGATAACATTAAGAGAAATACCTAATGTAGATGATGGGGTGATGGATGCAGCACACCACCATGGCGTATGTATACCTATGTAACAAACCTGCATGTTCTGTACACGTACCCCAAAACTTAGAGTATAATTAAAAAAGCAAACAAAAGAGCTGTCCTCGCATTCCATTGGGAACAATATTCAAAAAAAAAAAAAACAACCACACTTAATTCACTGGGTGCCTAAAAATAAAAATGGCTCACCTTTAGAAAAACAAAAATAAAGAATTAGAATTTTACAGCATTTACCAGTATTTAGAAAGTCAAATTACTAGTAGTGAATCTCCTTTTAGAGTGTAAAAGTGCCTTATAATAGATCTATGCAGCTTTGATATAGAATAACTTGGAAAAAATCCATTCTCTTCTGCTACCTAAACTTACAATTATTTGTTTCTCCACTCTGAGTAAATTGCTTTATTCCTTTGCCTATTTGTGTGAACAATTTATACAGAGACAGGAAAATGGATTAAAAATTAGAAAACAAGTAACTGAGAATTCATACAGAACATTTAATATTTAAAAGTCTTGTAGTTCAATATTCATTTATTAAAAGTGCTTGTGGAGAGAGTAATATGATGCCTATCTCAGGATAAGAATAGAAATTTTACTACAAACTTATTTTTCCTTAGCTTTGTGTTTTCTTTTTATGAATATGTCAAACCTACAAAATATTGGTCCCAACAGACTATCAAGAGACATTTTAAGGACTTTCATTATAAGGAAATGTTTGAACTATGTGTTTCAAATTTTGTCAAAATCAAGGTGGCTATTAGACATTGATTATTCTCTCTCTCTCTTAGAAAAATATTTTCATGAAGCCTATCATAGTTTCAAATATCGTAGTTTCAGTTCTCTTTATTTCAGTTTTGAACATTCTGCCAAAAGATCACATTAAAACCTTGGCTTGCTACAGAATTCATTTTATAACAGATACAATGGGAGAAAAGAAACATGCAATTTTTTTCCTGAAAAACAGTTGACACAAGATCCTAGTGGTAAATAAAACAATGACTGAAAAATTTTTATTGTTCTATAGCACTTAAAGGTTTATAAATTACAAAAATGCAGCAGAGAGAAATTTAAAAAAAAATTAAAACATTCTCCTTGCACTGAATTTTCACTGTTTGCAATAAAATAAGACAGAAAATTATGCAAAATTATTTGTTCTTCAGATACATGAGGAGACAGTATAAGCAAGTTTGGGCTTTAATTCAGTGAAAAGTATTTTATTATAACAAAATAGGATTGTAATAAAAAAATAGGATGTGTATGTCCTGTGCTTAGGTTTACATCCCAACTCTATATCTCTATTTTTCTTCATTTCATTCTCCTTTCTTTTTTTTGTCATTAATATATGGCATATTTACTTTTAATGTTTTTTCTAAGTACAAACTTTGACTCCCTAAAATTGAGCTATTATTTTTTAAAATAATTTAAGTTCTGGGGTACATGTGCAGAACATGCATGTTTGTTACATAGGTATACATGTGCTTTGGTGGTTTGCTACATCCATCACCCCATCATCTACATTAGTTATTTCCACTAATACTATCCCTCACCTATTCCCCCACCCCCTACTATCCCTCCCTTAGGCCCCCACCCCCTGACAGGCCCGGTGTGTTATGATCCCCTCCCTGTGTCCATGTGTTCTCATTGTTCAGCACCCACTTATGAGTGAGAAAATGTAGTGTTTGGTTTTCTGTTCTTGTGTTAGTTTGCTGAGAATGATGGCTTCCAGCTTCATCCATGTCCCTGCAAAGGACATGAACTCAGCCTTCTTTCTATGGCTGCATAGTATTCCAAAGTGTTTATGTGCCCCATTTTGCTTATCCAGTCTATGATTGCTGGACATTTGGGTCAATTCCAACTTTTTGCTATCATGAAAAGTGTCACAATAATGATCAGACACTTCTCCATAGAAGACATTGATGCAGCCAGCAATCATATGAAAAAAAAAAAAAAAAAAAAAAGCTCATCATCACTGGTCATTAGAGAAATGCAAATCAAAACCACATTGAGATACCATGTCACACAAGTAAGAATGACGATCACTAAAAAGGAAACAACAAATGCTGGAGAGGATCTGGAGAAACAGGAACACTTTTACACTGTTGGTGAAGTGTAAATTACTTCAACCATTGTGGAAGACAGTGTGGTGATTCCTCAAGAATCTAAAACCAGAATACCATTTGACCCAGCAATCCCTTTACTGGATATATATCCAAATGATTATAAATCATTCTATTATTCTCCTTTCTTAAACACATATAACTTAAAAAACTCTAATGATATCTGGAAACTAAAAAGTGTTGTATTAATAAATTTCTTTTATAAATATAATCTTTTATGACTTAGAAAATAATTTTATCATCATTAATAATTTATTGAAAATCTTTTGACATGATCTTATAATTGATAGAATTTAATTGTAGAAACAAGGGTTTTTAATGAGAACCATATAATTAGTTTAAGAAATAAGATTGTATTGATAGTGCTCAGTAATTGAGCTAAGTTTATCAGTAAGAAAGTCCCAAAAATTACAAACATTTTAGACGTTTGGAAACATTTTGAAATATATTTTTAAATGTTTTGCCCAGGCAACATGGAAAAACCCCTTCTCTACTAAAAAAAGACTTAGAAAATATTTGATATTTAATTCAAAGAGTAAATATAACTACAAGTAAATTCTTTAACTATTTGAAGATTTATTAGAAATTTGTGAAATTGACATGAACTCTTAAAAAGTAAAATGACAAAGTAAGTACAAACTTTGACTCCCTAAAATTGAGCTATTATTTTTTAAAATAATTTAAGTTCTGGGGTACATATAAAATAAATTTTGAAGTAAAACAGATTAGTTGTTCTTATTCCTTCCAATTTAGAAGATACTGAACACTAAGTAAACGTGTTCTAATTACTAAAGTATATTTATAAAAATGGTACTTTTAATTTAATTTTAATGCTAGTCAGGATTTGCTGGAGTGAAATATAATCATCAGCAATATACAAATGCATTTGTAAGTCTTACTGTCAGAATACAGGAGTACTTAAACAAATTTATAGAAATCCAACTCTACGCGATATCACCTGTCCAACTCGATGAGCTATCATCTGCCCAACTAGATCTGATATAATTATTCATAATGGAAGAGATTTTTGTATTGCCAGACTCCTTTCATAAAAATGTATCCTAGATGACGGGTTGATAGGTGCAGCAAACCACCATGGCACATATATACCTACTTAACAAACCTGCACATTCTGCATATGTACCCCAGAACTTAAAGTTAAAAAAAATGTATCCTATGACGCAAAATGTGTTTGGTTTGGCATCAGAGATTGTTCTCGGAATTAGTGTTCTTCATAATCTATAAAAATTTTTTGTTCTTAGAAAAATTAGCCAAGTAGATGAAGATACAACATTAAAAACTGAACACATAATTTAATACCTATGTATTATACATAATATGAAAACATGTATAAATTACATATACATGGGAATCATCTTTTTTGTTTGTTGGTTTTTAACCATATTTTGAAAGCACCATTTAAGAGAGAGCAACTATTTCTAAGAGAGTGATGAAGTCATGGTAGTCAATGTGTAAGTAAAGATGAGCAAAGCAACATGATAGGGAAAGACACATTTGGCTCAGGCTATGGGATTGGTTGCCTGGCAACTGTGGCGAGAGGAAGGACAGGTAAGAGCTATATCTGGAAAGAGCACAATGAGATACATTATTCTGAACATTTTAGGTGCAGAAAAGATTCACCTTTGAGCACACATCTAATTTTTGATATACCAAAGGTCATTTGCAGTTAGTTGTTTTAAATTATTATCAATATGGTGCTACAACTTGCTTCCATGAATGAAGTACAAAACCTAAGCTGGCTGAAAAACTCTGAACATTTTCAGAAATTGTTCTTCTGACAGCAGCTCCACTGGATAAATGTATGATTTTCAGGTAATTATTTTTTCAAAAAAATATTCAATTGTAAAAATCTGAATTAAAAATTTATACATGGTCACATCCCTTCTTTTAAGCAGCAGGAAACTATTTTTGAACCAAGAAAAATGAAGCAAATTAAATAATATATAATAAACAAAGGTCAAGGTTTCTTAATTTTTCCCTCAGAATCATTCTTTTTGAAGATTCTAGATTCAAGACCCTAAGTTAGTTTAATATCATTAAAAATATTATTATGTTTCTATGAGCTGGAAAGTTAAACTAATAATTAAAGAGGAATTCACACTATTATTAGTTTTCTTTTAAATGACTCACTTCT